TTTTCTTCCTGAGATGTTAGAAGTATACACGTTAAGCTTTGTAACCTGAGCATTTGGAGGTATTTTTTGATACTGCAGGGCTGCATTTCTATCGTACCAAGTTATCTCCTGCTATGCTATTACAGTTACAATATAAATCTTCAAACTAGTTGATACCTGATACCTTTCCCATATAAATAAAAAACAACACACCATTCAGCCACAAATATGACACTTCCTGTAAGAGTGACCTTTACCTTCTGCAAGTCCTCTTTTCCAAACAAGTGTTGAGCCATCATTTCCAGAAACCCACCTATGAAATATTCCTTGAAGTAAACAATTTCACAGTAAAATAAAGAAAAATATATCCAGAAAATAGCACTCTCTCAAACTTAAAACCTATATACATTAAGAAGAAGTAGAGATTTTTCCTCATTCTTTTATCAGTTCTACATTATCTGTAGATAAGCAACATTATCACTAAGAGTTATGAACAGGAAAAACAAATCTAGTGAAGTAACTGTCATCTCTTTTAATACTCTTAAGGGATTAAGAAAATTCAGCATTCAACTTTATTATTATAATTATTTTTAATTAAGGGAGCAAAAGTCTGTTTAGGCTTAATCCCCTGTGGTTTTGAGTACCCAAGACTTAGATCCTTCAGTGAACCCTAAACAAGCCATGCTGCTGCACTTATAATCACCTCTGGGTACAAATTAAGTTTTACATGGATGGGATTCAACCATGAACTCACTATTTATCTTTCTTATTTTATGATTGGTTTTATAATTCTTAATAAATTAAGCTGTTTTAATATTTAGCACAAATTTGGTGCTGTTCTTGAGCAAGTCTGAGCTTTAACTGCAACTGTAACGCACATATATAGGAATTTGTGAGCTGAGTTTAATGTACTAGAACAAAAGTACTTAAAACATTAAAATCGTACCTGAACATTCATTTTCTTATCAAGAATCTATGCTGAAAATATGCCTGTAAGTGTTATTAAATTTTGCGTATTAGACTTTTTAAATTAAAGAAACACTCCTCTGGATTCAGTATAGGTAGCTCTTTTTTCCTATGGAGTGGAAAATTGCCACTCAAAACTTAACAAAGGTTTGGACAAGTGAGCTTGGATGAACTATTTTCAGCATTCCTATCTGTCAGTCAGAATTTTTGATGAAATTAGTATTCTACATTGCATGCTATGAAATGCTATGTCAACAGCTTCTATTTTTATCTTTTGGGGTTTTTTCCTTACCTAACTGTGGTCTAATCATGGCAACTTCCATTGAGAAAAGATAGTTGGACTGAGGTGCTTATGTCCAAGTGCATCTATTTTAAAGCAAAAGATTATTCTCCATTCACATCCAACAAGTATTCTAGCTATTAGCCCTGCAGAAGTCAATAACAAGTGACAGATCACTATCTTCAACAATTTCACTCCAGGACTATTTTGAATTTTAGTTTTTGAAAAGGTAGAAAATATTTTTCTAAAAAAATTTGCTTTCATGTGAGGGGTATTAAACATGTAATCTGTGAACTGAACTGATGCAAAACAATGCCTGACAAATGCAAACCCATGAACAAAATGCAATCATTAAATACCCTGATGATATATCCAACTTACACACTTGCAGCCCAGGCTTTTAAGGTCATCTAAATGCCAAAGGTACAGGTAGGCATTTTTTAAATCACTCCTCAACAATTACATGCCTAATTCCAATTGACTGAAAAGCCTAAACCTTCTGGCAATCTGCTAGATGCCTGTCTGTATCTTTAAATTAAGTGAACTTAAAAGCTGGTGCATAGTATGGTAACAAAGATTCTCCACAAGTTCAGCTGTCTGTAGACAAATACCGCACTTCTGCCACGCAAAGGACTTTTTTAAAAACACTCTGCAATAATTTTCGCCAGTTTAACTTATACACAGGCTTGAGCTGTCTCCTCCTGTTCTTTGAGAAAAGATGATCAAGATCTAGAAATGTTTGCTGGAGCAGGTGGAGGTGGGGGGCTGGAAGCCAGCACTGGCCTCCAGGGTTTCTCAGTGGAAGATGATGTACAGCATGGCTGTATCATCGTGTTGCTGCTGGTATGAATGGTACGTAGCATTATCAAATTTTAATAATGGACATTTAACAATTGGAACAGTTTAGAGAATGACCTTTAAATTTAATTAAAGCTGTAAAATGGCTTCACATTTCTGGGATTAACCTTTTTAGATGGAGACAGATGTTCCAGAAAGGGATTAGAGTACAAATGAATGGTCCCTCAATTTAGAAACTAAGCAGCTGTAAAAAGAAAGTTACAATTTTGAAACATAATTAAACTGGTCGATTGTGTAGTTTTTTATGTGGACTTTTAAATGATACTAAAATATTGCAATATTTTGAGTCATTTAAAGATCTGCTCAGTGTAACATAATTTATGTTTTCCAATACAAAATTGGTTATTAATATTTACATCAAAAAACCCCACACTCACCTGACCTGTTTTGGGAGTGGGTATTTTAAATGTAATGGACAGTAAGATCACTTTTAACTTTGCATTAAATTTCATCAGCCTTCTTGCAAACATAAGCTTGTGATTTCCACATTTTACTCCCTTACTAGCAACTGAAATGTCTCAATTTAGAAGTATGTGCTGATATATATGTCGATCTACATTAAATATAAGGTACATAAGAAAAATCTTAGCATGGTTTTTTACAGGGCACCCAACTAAAATCTTTACAAAAGATAAGATAATTATCCATTCTTCAATGTAATAGACACAGATGCCATTTTTATAAATGTACCCTTATGTTCACTTGCCAATAAAATAGTAAACAAATCAACTTTTAAACCATTTTTTATAAATTATTAGAGTATTTTTACTGACACTCTCCAACAATATACAAAAATAATACTTACAAGAGTACCAATCAGTCTGACCTACCCCTCATTTCACAGAAAAGTAGAGGTTATGGAAGGATGTTCTTGTAATCAATCATCGCCGTAGATGTCTCCTGCAAATGGTAGGTGTACATGGCTGCCTGTGACATTGGGAAGTCGAGAGAGATCAGGCAGGTTCTGGATGCGTGACCTGAGTTCTTTCCGTACTTGGGACACTCTGGCTAACTTGCGTTTGTACTCCTATAATGCAGAAGAATTCAACATGAGACTCTTGCTAATACCATCCCAACTATTTACTGCACTTAACATTTTCTAAATAAAGTATTCCTTCTGTGAGTTAGATGACTAAACATATTTAATCGGTGAGAACCCAGAGAACTGGGTATTCTGGAGGCAGAGGCATCAGCTCTAGCATTTTCTCAGCATCTGACTTCAGAAGCATAGCCATGGGATTTTTTTTGCTTTGAATTTTAAGTACACAAATGCTAAGCAAGGAAGACAATCCCAGTTAACATAATTACACACATTTCTCCAGGCAGTTAGTAGAATGGGATTATTGTACTGTATCCTGATAGTGTATCCTAACCTTAATGCCTGAAGGCCACAAATACTTTACTGTTTCATATCTGATGTTACACCAGCATCCAGAGACCTCAGAGAGCTGATTCTGTGCAAGAGTATTAGCCCTTTGCCAACATGTAAAAAGCCAGTAACAGAATACTTCTTGCCCTTTACACTATTTTAGTCCAGACTGCAGAGATATACTCCTGACTATTATGTCAGGGAATAGATTTTAATGTCAGAGGAAAAGATAGGTTTCATTGTTTAGCAAAACAAACAACCTTGAAGCTCGGAGACCTGGCCTCCCTTGTGAAAGACATACTACTGTACAGAAGAGGATGAGTAGAACTGTAAGCAGAATCAAAACACTCCAAAGCCCCAAAATCAGTAAAAAAACCCCACTATAAAACAATTTCAGCAGTTAATTCTTGTAAATGGTATTTTAATCAGATGAATCCTGATTCAAGTTTATTCTGTCAATGAAGAATGTGAAGCAGCAAATCAGTATCTCTTCATGAGCTTGAAGCGTGGTGCTAGATAAATACACACAGATCACACTTAGCAGCTATATTCTCTCAAGACTTTATTCTAAAACCTGAAATGTGCCTTAAATTAATTGCCAATTGCTTGACTCCATTAAAATTCCCTTTAGCTGATAATAAATCATTTCCATAGTAACATCACATTTCTGACATCCAGCATTTTCCATATAAATGGGACTTGTTGCCTAGTGAATATCAGCTTGATCAATATTACTGACAGTAGGTTCCTTATTCTCACTAAGGAAAATGTTCTCATAAATTCGGTCTCCCATACAACAGAGTCTTCTTCCTCTCACCAACACCTTTAGCATAATGCACACTCTCAGGAAGTCAAAACTCATTCCTTGTGCCTTCTTAGAAACAGAGACCTATAAGAAGGTTTGATTAAGGTTTTTACCATAAAACAAGAGTAAATTAAAAAATGATATAAGGTTTTACGGCTCAATGTATTACTGATGCGGTATAAGCTACATAATGCAACTTTAATACAATTTTGATACTCCAAAGCATATGTGAGATCTGCAACTACGAGTTAGATGGCCATGAAAATTCTCCCCCACACACAGAAATATTATTCACCTTACCCAGACCACCTAATTCTCCATGACACTCCCAAAACCATTCTAGAAATCACTGGAAATCACAGTCTAGTTTTCATTACTGGTGAGCAGGTTCAGAAGAGAGCTGATTTTCAAGTACAGTGACTTAGCAGTTTGGAGGTACTTTCGAAAGGGCTGCTTTCCACAGTTTGATTCTATTTAAAATCATTAGTCACTTCTGAAAAGGTTTGCTTATATTTTTTAGCCTGCTAATATAGTCCTGGCATTACCTCGGTAGTCATGGACTATTGGAATTCAAGTATCAAGTCACTCATTATCAACAATACTCGTTATATGTGCATCTTTTATTATTTTATCATAATAGCATGCACATATACTTACAACCTTTTTCCTCAGTGTATATGTTGAGAGTGCGACTTAATTAAAGGAGAGGAGTGGGAATGAGGATATCCAGGTGTTATTTCTGATATTGTCGCTCCATTAGAAATGCTGTATACTGTACAACCAAGGAACAATTTACTTATATTGTTGACACTTCTAACTGCAGAAACCCTCATGGAGTATTTAAATTTCATTATGCTGATATTAAGATATAGTTCAAATTACCTCCCTGTAAATGAGGCAAGATTCAAGCTATTTATTTCAAACAGTCAAGGACAGGCAGAGGTATGATCTTTTCTTTTACTACACAGCATAATTTGCATTGTTTGCTATCTGTGGAGAACCTTACTCTTGCAATATATGGGCAACCTGACGTATGGACTTAAAGTCTCTTCAATTTCTTCACTGGTCTAAGATAACACTACTTTCAAGCAATAATTTTTCGTACTTCCAGACATAAAAGTAAGTTTATGAGATAATTATAATAACTGATTTTTCTCATTAGAATCCCACTGATTACTACAATTTCCATTACTCAACAATGGATCTTTTGTGAAAGCAATGCTGACAACATATGGATTCCACACCTAGATTAATAGTAATTATCTATCAAATAAGTACCAGGCAAAAAAGCCAAATAATTTTTGATTAGACACTACAATCACCATAAATAAAAATGTGGGCAGACCAAACAGCCTGTGCACTGCAGAGCACACATTCCCTTCCAACTGAAATAGGCTGAAATAGATCTTAATGTAAAGTTTCTGCAACTACCATAGAGAGGCGCTACAGCTAAAACAACTCAGAACTTCATGGATATGCTTTCTCTTTACAACATTAATATAACTTCGAACCCTCACCTGATCCCTAAGGCTATGTCAGGCATCAAAATACTGTGTGTCAGAAAATGTACAGCAAAGGGAAAGAAAAAGAAGCTGATTCCAAAGCAAGAATAAAAGGTTTGCATAAAACACAAATATTTAATCTGTACCCTTGCTAGCTATAGAAATAAAAGGTGGAAATCAATACTCTCAATACAGAAAAACAAAACCCAAAAGGCTTAAAAGGCTTTTAAGGTGTTGAGGACATGTGTGTACATCAGCATCTATGGCCTGTATGTACATCATATTTAAAACTGAGATCTCTGACTTTCTAGGTCCATTCCAACCTTCTGGTTTCAGGTGCAGATGCCAGAGCTGTGTCACAGAGCAAAGGTTTCTCACGTGCTGTGTCCAACAGCACAGAAACCACTGGAAATCCTCAAAGGTTCAGACAAATGCAAATAGTATGTGATAACCTGATATCCAGATGTGTTCAGAAACACAGTATTTGTTTATAGACTCCACTTTGTTAAAATCTAATGCCTCATCCAGTCTGGGTATTTTACTGCAAGGAAGGCTGACAGCTAGAGTTGGAGGCGTCAGATATGCCTCGCTATCACTCTGGAAAACAGATGAGCAGCATTAAATTTTGTGCTGCCTTTAAAAATTTGTCATGGGTCATGTTCTTCACCAGTATGATTAAAGGCTCAACCCATTTACTATTGTTAAGGATGGACAAAACCCTAAAATAGCTGTCATTTAAGACACTGAACAGAGTCTGAACAATCCATATGCAACACACACACACAAGGTTGAAAAATCAAGGACAGTTACGACAAGCTTAGGAAAGGACTGGCTAACCTTCCATTACACATTTCATTTGTTACTCAAAAACAAATTTTTGGAAGTAAACGCCAACTTTCCAGTACGTTTACATCTATCAGTTTTCCACTAGGCCTTCCTACCTTTAGTGCAAAATAAATTGCCCTGAAAGCAATGAACACGTATCTAGTAACTGCTTTGTTCATTCCCTGTTGTTCTATGTGTTGCCCCATGCATTACTTACTGTGTGCTATCCAAATCCCGCTCTGCACATAGATTTACTAATATTCTCACAGGTTTTCTAATAGCATACTTTACTATTAGAAAACACACTTTATTCTTCAGAAAACTTCTTTGAGCTGACAGTGAAAGATCAAAATCAAATGCATCCTCTAATTTTGAGTATCTCATTTTTCTCAGTACTTAAAATTACCAAGAACTCCATACTTCAAAGCAAATTCTCTAAATTAAATTAAAATAACAAAGACTCTTCAGCTTGTTTGCAAACAAAGCAACAGGAAGCAGTGAACTCAGAAGTCTGAAACCCACCAACTAAACTGGTGACCATCTGGGGAAAGCTTGACTAAGTGATGCTGTCTACCATCAACTAGTATGCTGTGGTACAGACAGGAATACACTGCAGGTCTTCACATCGCAAATGCCTGAGTGCAGCAGTAGTAAATAGGAACAAAGCATTTCACCAGACATTTCCCATCAGAAGGGGGATTATCAGAAATGTGAATTCCTTCACAGTGGTCACAAACTATTCTTCCCATTCCTTGAAAATGCAATTTCTTTGTCCAGCTCCTTCCAGTCTACTCTCGGGTCTCAAACCTCACTCACCCCAATCTTAACTCTTGGTCTACATCTCCGTTCCTTGAACACAGTTCATACAGCAAACCTCTTTGTCCAGCAAGGCTGTTCAATGACTCTCAGACTCCTGTCATGCCTGTATTCACATCCAATACAAACACTCACAACTGGTTTTTGCCTAACAGTACCCATTTCCCTTCTTTTTGGCTCCATATCTGAATTCCTCCTTCTCCAATCCTGGTCTGTACTTAATCACTTTGTCTACAGTATTGTCTGCATATGGTTCCAGTTCCACCTATTTCTCTCCAGTCCTATAATCAGCCCGTCTCTGCTTTCTGCCTATAGAACATCTCCATCAGATTATTCTATCACCTCACGCCAGTTTTTGCTTCCATTCTCTTTGTCCAAAGGAATTCCAGTTCCTCCCATTTCAGTCCTGCACGATATCATGCTTTCCTGGCCAGTCGCTCCCTTTCTTCTCAGCCAGCTGATCTCCTATTCCATTCTTTACTATAATGCCTAGTCCTGGATCCCTTAACCTCTGCAGCCTCTGGTGCCAAGTTCCATGGGCACTCATTCAAGTTCTGCATTCAAACTCATCAGCTTCCACCTCCCCATTACTTAGACTCATGGGAGCCATGGACAACCCACCCATGGAAGAAGTTCTCTGCTCTCATGTCAGATGCTTGGCCCATGGTCAGCCACAGAACAGCTGCATACAGTTGCAATTGCAGGAGAAG